TCCCTATTTTTAACTTGGAGGTCATTGATATACTTCATAGTTTCGGATTCAAGGAAGGAAATTAATTTGTCTCTGTTCAGTAACTCAGGTACTAATTACATAACTTTTGACTGCATGGAAGCTTCCTCCGATTAAAGCATTCTCAGGACTTCATGTATTAGCCTTACACTTATGATTTCCCTTTACATAAAACAACCTATTCCTCACTCTAGTCATTCTATAGAACTTCAGTTTTAATTGGCAGAATTTCATGAGTTTCTATTCCTCCTAAACTGGAAAAGGGCAAAGGAGCAAATCCAGGTGGATTTAGTCATCTTTCTCTTTGCCCTTCTGTTCACTAAATTCTTACTTGTTGTGTACCATAGTCCTATGTTATCAAGGGCTTTCATTTCACAGATGTGAATACTTCTATGGACACTTGCTAACTATCACAATTATAGTAACTAGACAAGTAGTCAGCAGCAAAGCTAAAATTTTGAATTGATTTTTTCAGTTGGTCACCACTGTGCACCTATGCTATGTTTCATGTTTCAGTCTCTTGTTTTATCCTCTAAATCTTGCTCCACTTCCTGCTATATAAAATGCCTGTGTACTCTAACAAGGAAGAAAAAATTCATCAAAAATCTGTATTGAGTCTTCTGCTATATTTGCCCACCAGATGTCTCACCACAGGAATTCCAGATCGCCAACCAGTCTCATTATTTAGATTTCCCAGGCATGATGCAGATGCTCCCAAGTTTACTATAAACCTACAAGTTTGTCAAGTCACGTGAAAGAATATATGCAAGCTAATGAGCACCTGAGAACTTCATCATGGAACAACAGTGGAAAAAGCAACAGGATAGTGTGCTCTGAAAATTAAAAATCTACTGTAACAATTATATTTATGCAAGTAAGTAAAAAATCAAGTGACAATATTTTTAGCATTTGATTTTAAGTGCTGTCAAAATTTTAAACTAAAATTCATGTGCATTTTCCAGCAAGTATGTGAAGAATTTTTATTTTACAAAATTGAATTGTAACAAAGTTTCAGTATATTTAATTTTTTGAGACATTTACAACAATTGTTATAATGTGTTTTTAAGTTACATGTAGTCTAGCCAGATAAAATATAGCTTTAGTAATAAAAATTATAAAGTTGAAATAAACCAGTATAATTTGCTTATATTAACATCAATTAATATCAATCCTACAGTAAATACAAGAAATAAAGAATCACTTTAACATTCCTAGGACTTCTTTTTTCATTATAATTTTGCCAGAAGTAGCTTCCTTACACCACCACTATCTCAATGTTACTTCCATCATGATTTACTCAAATGCCATTTCTCTGTGAAACTTTCCTGTACCCACATTGACAAAAGCATTCACAATTTCTACGGATGTCTGATCAAACTTTAAGCATAGTATCTATCCACTATCTCGTGTGCCTAGTTTCTACATAATCTGTCTTGACAAACTTACATTGTAAACTCTTTAAGAGCAAGGCCCATTGGTACTATCACCATGAAACACAGAGCCTGGTATGAACAATAACTCAGTAAAGGAATCAGAAAGAAACATAAACTTTAAATTGACAAAACAACAAATGTTCACAATAAAACAATTAGCACGATTACAGAATCAGGAGGAAAAACATTTCTAATACTGAATTCATGTAAAAATAAGACAATCTATGAACCATATCATAGTTTTTATTATTCAATCAAATGCATAAGGCATATTCCAAAATGAGTGTGGCCTCTCTCTCCAAAGTTTTTCTAAAATCCAATCATTGTATTTTAAAAATATTAATAATTCTGCAAACTAGGATTTACTTTCCTGGGATTTTTTATGTTTCAATTTTAAAAGTCATCTAAAGCATATGCCAAAATGTGGCTCCGTCATTTAAAAACATGGTTCTCTGTTTTAGGCAGAATGCCTTGTTATACCTCATTCTCATCTTAATAAAAGTATCATAGAGCACAATAGCGATTGTGATTCAATGTAAGATTTTGTATAAAAACAAAAAAGCTCAGAATTTAAAAAACGTTTTAAAATGTCACCCTAAAATAGTTTACATTTAACATAAAGACAATGTTTGTTTAACACTAAGAAAGCCACTGACCACTTGGTCAATGCTCAGTTCCCTAAAATAGTAATAACATAACCAGCAAAATCAAACTCCAGTAGGTCTACACATATATACTCATGTCTTAAAAGTTATTTCCTTCTCTTTGACTCACCCAGTTTGTGGGAATTTCCTTTGTATTCTCTATGGTTCATAAAATTAATATACTCAAACATTCTCCTCTGTGCTATAGCTTGTTCATTCTCATTGTTCAAACTCTATTCTAGAATATATTTATTTTCATATTAAAGTACTGCCTTAAGTATAGTCTATGATATGGGGATAACAATCATTTTTAATGACATCAGTTGAATCACACAATCTCAGATCTACAGAACTTTATACTGCATTTTTTTATTCCATTTTACTGTAAGCAAAGTGTAGCATCAAAGCCAGTTCAGCATGGAGATAGAATACATAACCGCCTTCAGTAACTCAACCTTTAGATTAAGCATTATCCTCTAGGCCTTCTATCACAAGACAATTTCCTGGCAGGCCAGACTCACAGGCATGCCACCTGTGCAGCTGTGCTTAGAAGGGCCACACTTGGTTTAATGCTACAGTGCTGCCGTTATGAATTTCTTGATCATTTTTGAGCAAGGGATCAACATTTTTACTTTCATTTGACATCACAAGTTACAGAACCAGTCCTGCCCTTGAAGATGATAACACATTGAGTCACAGAATAAATTCGTCTGTCAAATAAAGTCGGTTGGGAATTACAACAAAAGCAGAAAGAAGAACACCAAATGTCTATACTATAGAGATAACAGGAGGAGAGAAAACATAAAAGGAAAGCTGTGTGTGCAAATTAGCTCATTTTTTAACTTAATAATTATTTATTGAGTGTCTGCTATGTGCCATGTATTATTCCAGATGCTGAGATTTCAACAAGAACAATGCAGATAAAGTCTCAGACTTCATGGAGCTTCCACTCTAGGGACAAATGAGGTCTGTCTGTAGTAAGTAGGGGATACCAATGGGCAGTATGTTGAAAAACGATTTAATATATTTTTCTCTCTAGTATTGTTACTGCTGGTAACCAGACAAACTGATAACAGTTATGAACATTTAATTATCACAACTAATTTATTACTAAGAGATGTTTCTTGAGTAAAATCTGCTCTCAATAATTTTAGATTTTCCTTTCAGGATTTTTGGAAATTTCATGAATTAATGGTCATCTTTTCGACTTTGTCATTTGCAATAGATAGTTTCCAATAGGCAGTATGACTAGTATATTTAAAAATGAATGTTAAGGCTTATTTTGTGACTAATTAAATAATGCCCCTTTCTTCTCTCCATTCTGTTCTCCCCCTTTTGTCTAAATTTAATAGTACATGAACTGTGCTCCCATCAAACAAGTCTTTTTGGAGAGAAGTATTGGTTCTTTGGATCTGGCCCATGTGTCACCAATTCTGAAAAGGAAACAAGCAAACAAAACCAGACAAGCAACCAAACCAAACAAAGCAATGCTTATAATTAAGTATAGAACAATTGTGGAAAATTGCTCAGAAAATGAGGACTAATGAGCCTGGATCTTACAAAAGTGCTTTCACTTTTATACAAAATATATGTGGGATGTCACCTGGTACAGCATTACCTAGCACATTGATGCAGGCAATCAATGGATGTCTGTTGACTAAATGAATACATAAATGAATGATAACTGACTAGGTATGTCAATAATTCTCTTTCACATATCCTAAGTGAATCTATTTTGTAGTACTAGCACAATACTGAAATATCATTTATCTAAAATAGTTTTTTTCACCTAGAAAATGACTAATATCCAAACATAAGTACTTTCCATCACCATAACTTTCTTTTGCATTAATTGTAGCTGATAAATTTGAATATGCTTGAGAAACAAAGCAGAATTGTGAAAAGTGAGCACATTTTGTCAGCCTGGAGTATGGACCTATATCCCTTAAAGAGTAAAATAAATCCAGTATGTAGTGCAATTTCAAACCATGAGAAGACACAAAATCACAGGTGACTATCTTAATGTACAAAAGTCAAAATGCTGCCTGACTGGAAAGGAAGAGCTAGCTATTAAACATTCCTCAAAACACACTATGTTTACTACACTTGTGCTCTAAGTATTCAACACATATTATTCACCTACCATTATATAAGGATATTCAATTAAAATCCAATAGGGGAACTGGCTGGCAACATACAGCTACTTTAGAATTCTCTGGATGCATACTGATTGTACTTCATAGAATCACAGAGCTGAGAGTTAATCGAATATGTCCTCCCATACAAAACCCCTGTAATTTGTCTTATCTACAGATGTACATTTAAACAAGAGAAATTTGACAGCATATTTTTGCTTTTAACCTTAAAAGAAATTTCACACCAATATATTTTTGTATTCAACTATTTTCATTGTAAAGAGATTCTACCATAAGATTCTCCAAAAAGTCATATCTGACTAAAACTAACACATTTATCACAGGTTTTGGTTAGTGGAGGATGTATTTCTTATGCATCTTAATTTGAATAAATTATCATAAATTATCTCAGTAATTTTCTTCTTAAAACTAAAGTTTCTGCTTGTTTAAAATTTCTGAAAATCATTCTATTGGAGGTTTTAGTTAATGAAACCTGGTATTATTTAATGTAGAACTTATATCTATCTTAGTTAACACTATTAATTTTATTTGCACGACCTGTAAAATCTCGTGCAAGTCTATATCAAAATTGAAATAACAATGATTTACAACCTGATATTTATTGAACATTCAAAACAATAGTATTTTGTTTTTAGAAAACTTTTAAAAATAAAAATATTCTTAGATGAACTAAAGACTATTTTGTCTGCTAAACTTAAAGAAGTTATTCTAAATGTGAACATCTTTTGCATCATAAATATGACTCTTACCTGTGCTGCTGGATATATTAACATCAATACTGATATCAGATATTCCTCCTCCCTTCAGAGATGCTACACATGTGTATGTCCCAAAATCCGTGAATTTTAAATCAATGATGTCCAAGTTTGTCGTTCCCGGGGAGACATCAGGATCAGTCTGTGTAATAACCATCCGCTCAGAACTTCTTAATGGACGACCATTTTTAAACCAACTAAATGTTAATTCCTCAGAAGGAACAGCTTCTACTTGGCAAGATATTTTCACCTCACGTCCAATCTGGATGTTGTCATCTTTGTGATAAGGATCTGGTGTGATCCAAAATCGTCCTTTTTTTAATGCTAAAACATAAAAATTCCATAAGTAGTTAGTGTTACTTTCATAATTTTAGGGATTCATTGACTCTAGGAAGTCATCTTTGGACTGAAATAAAGAAAAATAAAATAAAGTGTACATTCTGTATTTTTCTTTGCTGTTTCCAAGTAGTGTGTCTACCGATAAATCTCATTTAGGTAATCCAGAAATAATTTTAAAATTCAAGTCACGTAAAGACTAAACACTAATTTTTATAAATTGGATAATATTTTCCATTGATATAAAAAGTAATGCTTAAATCTATATGCAATCATACTTAAACATTACTGTCACTGAATTTTGAACAACTGTTAGAACCTATTTATATAGAGTCACAGGGTAACTTTTAAAGTTAAAAGTAATAATGTGGATCATGTAGTTTAATTAATTTCCTATGCCATCCATAATTATTGAATAATTTCCCCAAAACTCAAACATTGCACAAGTATCATATTAAAGAACATTCTTCTAAGCGTGTAGCTATATGCTGACCATAACTAGTTTGGTAAGAATTGTGCCAGTTCACATTTATGAGGCATTTTCATGTATCGAAATAACCTAAACTGAAAAAAAAGTTAAAACATTTTCTATGAACTGCTTTAGTCCACAATATATAAACGCTTCTAGTTAAAATTATTTGTTGGCTCTCTTATGCAGATCAACCAAAAAAACCTCACGGCAAATGGATTATAAAACATACCATATTTGTATCCTAATACCAGTGCTTTCTGCATCTGAGGTCAGTGTTGATCTCACAACCTGGGTCAGTAGTGATCATTACCAGAAGGCTGCTGGGGGAGCGTCTATTGGCTTCCTAAAGGCAAAAATCTCTGAATGATGCCATGGGACTCAAAATGGAATAGAGTATGCTCACTTTTAGGACAGTGATTCTCTTATGCACACAGTTTTCTTTTTTCCAACATCCTCCCCTTTCCTCTCTCCCTTAACATCTCTATCCCTGTATGATGAAATGTATGTAGTAGATGCAGTGAAACACAATTATCAGAACAAAATACTGGCCATTTACTTTTACCGTTACACATAAATACACAATGATACTGTCAAAAATGATGTAAATTTAGTGGACCTGCAGATACTAAAGCCTTCTAACTGCATCCTGAACAACCCTTCCTGAATTTAACCAGATATTCCTCAGTTAGTCCAAAAACGGACAGTGAACACCATGAAAATCTGTAAAACTGTGCAGAATAAACTATATTTTTAAATCTGAAAAAAAATTGCTTCTAAGTTTCTTTACGTTTCAGTCTCGAATATTTTCAACTGGTTCTTGTTTGTATCTTAATGAGAAGAGATAAATGAATATCAAAAACAATTTTTGTATCTTTCTGTTTATTCAAGATTTATGTGTAGGGTTCTTCCTCAGGACAAGTAACTAAGCAAGGCCCTGACTGCATGAGATGAACAAAATAGACCTAACCATGGCCCTCACATATTGCAACTTGTATACTCATAGATTACAGCCCAATTTATTTACCAGATACTTATGATACTTATTTCTAGAGAAACCACACACTACATAGATATGAAATATTTTATGTTTGAAAAAATCTGAATCTAAGAGGAGAACCCCCCTCCCCCCCAATTAGTGTTTAGAAAATGCACTAAGCTTCAGTCTTACACCAGAGGACAAATACTTAAATCACATTCTCATTTTGTTATTTGTTATGTTTTTCTATAACAAAATGTAACATAAATCTTACTTATCCCTAACTGTATCTTTATCAGTAGGGTACTTTAGGAGAAAATTAGGATAAATCATGCTATTCTATTACCTAGACTCATATATTCATATTTTCATAGGCACTGAAGTATGACTTCACATTGTACTTAGAAAGGGAAATATGATAAAAATGTCCATATCTAGCCACCATATTTGGCATATAATATTGTGCATATACAATTCAAATGTAACTGAAGTTCTACAGAACAAAGCAAATCATAAAAGTGTAGAATATCCTTTTTTAAAAAAAGATCTAAAATAATAGTATGTCAAGAGCATTTACTTTCATTAGAATCATAACACTTAAATGAGAGTTCTTTTCAATTGCAAAGAATTTTCCTTATCTTGTTTCTAAAGAAAAATGATAACCAAAATAGAATTTTTAAACAAAAGACAAATCATAATTTAAAAAGTTTTAAAATTTTATATATTGATTTAGTAATAACTTCATATTATTAATATGGCATGTATGAAACTACTTTTTACAATAATTTTCATTACAAAATTATATGTTGGTTTACATATACAAATGCACACAACAAAAAATTCAGATGTTTAAGTGATTAGCACTTATTTACTATGCAGTTACTGTTTTCTAGTTCTATGATCTATGTAGTGACATATTAAAGTGAAATTGACATTGAGAGAATGGCAAACTCATGAGCCAAATTAGATCTGAACTACTACACAACTCAAAAACCACTGATAAAAATATGCAATCCGGGCCGAGCCCATGGAGCACTCGGGAGAGTGCGGTGCTGGGAGCGCAGCAGCGCTCCCACCGCGGGTTCAGACCCTATATAGGGATGACCGGTGCATTCACAGCGCTCACTGGCTGAGCACGGTGCAGCCGGTCTCACAAAGGACAAAAAAAAAAAAAAAAATGCAATCAATACCTATGTGTTATAGACCATTTTATTCATGAAAATAATTTTTAAAGCCCAAGGTAAAAAATATTAATAATTATAGAGCTATCATCAATTAATAAATCAGATTAAATATGATATTTAATTATACTCTTTGATATAAAGCAATATTATCAAGTACACTTTTAAGAATATTTGTTAATCTCTGTGTCAGACAATTCTATGATTTGGGCTAAGTTAATCTTACTATTCTTCCAAATGACACACATTATAGAGAGAAGAAAAGGGACAAAGCAGTCTGCTAAGTGAGCTCAAATTAAGGAATTTTACAATAAGTAGCATGGATCATTTAACTGTAGAGCCGTCTCTCTGTGTTTGTTTGTGTTGTCCCTATAAAAACAATAACTGGTTTTGCATACAAAACAGAAATTGTCTAAGGAAAAATATTATGTGTGTGTATAGTCATCTGCAATAACAGAGGACAGTAAAAATTACTGGGTTTTTTCAATTACTTTCCTCAGAAAACTAAGAGCATAGCTCTGTGAACTGGACATGAGTACACTGAGAACTTGCAACCTAATTTTAGTTTTTCATTTCTATGTTGTCTAAAATGGGCAATCTAATTTTTATGGGTCAAGTGTATCATTTATAAAAATAGGAGGTGATAGTATTAGGCTCCCTTGGAGACCTATTGTGAGAAATATCTTATTAGCAATTTGTGTTCGAGCTTTGAAAATATAAAATGTTTAATATAGTTCATCAGCTGGGAAGCAGGTTCCCTCATTTGTAATTAAACACTCTCTTTTTCAGTGAACAATTTCTAGTAGTTCATGCAATGTTAATTTAGTTATTTCATCTTAGCAGTTAAGATTTCAGACTCTTAAAATCAATATGCAATGAGTACTGGAGTATAGCAGGGGTCCAATAGGCTTAACAAGACTCTATAGAACTAAAGAAATTCTATGGAAAAAGAGTAATCCCTTTCCCCAAATGTGATTTCTTAGTTGAATATCGAAAATCCCCTAACATCAGCCTGAGAGAACATTAGATTTGGCTTAATGTGTCATAAATTGTGATGGATGAAACTCAAAAGGTACTTGTTTAGTTTGGCAATGCATGTAAAAGACTGGCATGAAGTCGAGTCTGTTCTGGAAAACCAATCTGGAAACATTGCAATATTACCATAGCCTCCCTTTTTCAATGTTGTGAGAACTGAATGTACACTTGGCCCACATTGATTTGTGACAGGTTACTTGGGAGGACATTGTAATTGCACTTACTGAAGTCCCTCTACTTTGAGATATACAAAGGTGCTCTGTAAATAGCATGAAACGTAAGTGTAAAAGCAGAGGCCACTCCCTACAAAAATCTGGATATGGTTTGCTGCTGAATTTTCCCTAGAGACAAAAGCAGTTTTGTGCCTACGAATGTTGATGGTTGTATGGAAGACTTCCATTATTTTAACCAGATTACTTCTTGAGTATATGCTTGAAAGAAGAAGCACCAGCCTGTGGCTTCCACAAAGATGAGGCATCTTAACTGAGTTGGCATCTTGAGGGTATCTTGACTATAGCTGTAGACTTAAAATGATAAAATACATCGCTTTGTTGGTCAAATATTTTCTAAAGTATACAACACACAGTAATTTAATAATAAAATAAAAATTTTCGAAAGAACAAAACATGACAGTGGTGTTTTTAATTTTAATGAGAATGTATCTCTTTGGAGATAAGAAGTATCAGCTGTCAGCTTTTGAACTTCAGCTAAAAATTTGTGTCAGAAGAATGATGAGACACGGAGTGACTACTTATCACTATTCCAGGCTGACAAATTAGCAAAAAGACTCTCCAAATATACCATGTCTTATAATCTCAGTAGGATTCAGGACAACATGAAAAAGTGATAAAATGTTGCTTAGAGAAATGGATCTAGAAACCATAATAGTGTAATCAGATAAATAACAATTGATTGTCTATTCATTATTCTCTGCTAAAAAGAATAACAATATTTGTGTGAGAAATGAAGCATTTTCCAGTCCTACTAGATGCTAATTGAATAAGCAGTTGGAAATAGAGTATGTCAACAAAGAAACCTAAAATATAGTAAATGATAGTATATATAATCTGTGCTATTATAATTAGGCACCTATCTTCCTCCTCAAGAGGATGTGAACATCTGGGTGGTGGGGCCATACCTTACTCTTTATTGTCCCTAAATCCTGAACATGGTTCTTTGTTATAGTTAGTATGCAACAATTTTTGTATAATTTGATTAAAATGGAATTCAAATTATTAACTTTACAGATGCTGATTGTTTCCATTCAGTCCACTATGTCCATGTTAACTTTGATTTTGTTTTCTAGTATTACATTCTGAGATGC